AGGTACAAAGATGAAGAACTCATTCCAGCCCCAATGTAAGCAGCTATAATACAAACTCAGGTGACTCAGCATCAATCAATGTTATAGATCTCATTGACCTTGTAACCCTGTTCCAGCATCTTGACCTTTGCCCATGGGAAGTGCGGACACCCTGCACTTGTTCCCTGAGGATGGGAACAGGCTTTCCCTATTTACTGGCATGACACATTCCCTTTCTTCCTGCAGTTCTCAGCTCAGAAAATACCTCCTCAGGGAGGCCCTCCCTGGCCACTGATCTAAAACATCCCCCAGTGCACAGATTTCATAATGCCCCTCCCCACTTTGTTTTCTCCCTTACCTTTTCACTCTCCAACATACAATTTCTTTGTTTACCATGTTCTGAGGACTAAACTGATTTTTTTTTTAATCTTGCCCGAATTCCTATCTAAAGGGTCTGGGGAGTCATGCTCTACAAATCATAAATTCTCATCAGATTTTTTTTTTTTAACGGAGTCTCACTCTGTCACCCAGGCTGGAGTGCAATGGCATGATCTCAGCTCACTGCAACCTCTGCCTCCTGGGTTCAAGCAATTCTCTGCCTCAGCCTCCTGAGTACCTGGGACTACAGGCACCTGCCACCACGCCTGACTAATTTTTGTATTTTTAGTAGAGATGTGGTTTCACCATCTTGGCTAGACTGGTCTTGAACTCCTTACCTCGTGATCCACCCACCTCAGCCTCCCAAAGTACTGGGATTACAGGTGTGAGTCACTGTGCCTGGCCCAGATGGGTTTGATTTAACTCTATATATCATGATTTATAGATGGGTTTAACTCTATATATCATGATTTACTTTCCAACCTGACTCTGGCATAACATTATGAGACAAAGAAGAAAATCAAAATATTCTATATGAAAACATCTTTCCGTTCTTTTTTTTTTTTTTTTTTTTTGTATGAGATGGAGTTTTGCTCTTGTTGCCCAGGCTGGAGTGCAATGGTGCAATCTCGGCTCACTGCAACCTCTGCCTCCCAGGTTCAAGCAATTCTCCTGCCTCAGCCTCCCAAGCAGCTGGGATGATAGGTATGCATCACCATTCCTGGATAATTTTGTATTTTTAGTAGAGACAGGGTTTCTCCATGTGGGTCAGGCTGGTCTCAAACTCCTGACCTCAGGTGATCTGTCTGTCTCAGCCTCCCGAAGTGCTGGGATTACAGGCGTGAACCACCATGCCTGGTCTTTTTTGCCATATTTTGAAATGACCCTGCAAAGCTGTTCTTTGTGGAGGAAAATTTGCATCTGTAAAGAATCTCTATTAACATAGCTAAATGTTTTTCTTTCAGACCCTTTCTATCCTAAAGAGATAACTAAGATCTGAACAGGAAACATTTGTCACCTATCATCTCTGAAGGAAGCTGCTCTAAGACTTCAAAAGAAGTTTGGTCTCCACAGTCTTTATCTTAACTTGAACTTTCCCTTTCTATCTATCCCAGATCTTTACACAAACTCAACCAATTGTCAACCAGAAAATGTTTAAATTCACCTACAGCCTGGAAGCCTCTGCTTTGAGTTGTTCCGCCTTTCTGGACCAATATTTCTTAAATGTATTTGATTGATGTATCATGCCTTCCTAAAATGTATGAAACCAAGCTGCACCCCAACCACCTGGGGCACACGTTCTCAGGACTTCCTGGGGGCTGTGTCATGGGCCATGGTCACTCATAATTGGCTCAGTATAAATCTCTTCAAATATTTTACAGAGTTCAACTCTTTTCATTGACAGTTGGGGTGTTATTTGCTTCCTCCATTAGAATGTTAAGTTCTGTGAGGGCAGGAATTTGGGGTGTTTTCTCTATCCTAATCCTGGGGCCAGGTTCCCAGTACACAGCCCATACTCATTTTTTTTTTGTATGAATTCATGAATATGTGGATCTTTATCTCCATCCCCAGTGCTGGGGTCCCATCCTGATGGCCCTAGTTTTTCAAGACCTGGGATGCAGGCTTGATTCTCTCTCTCTCCCACACGTGAGCAGTGCCCAGTCTCCAGAGCAATGCCAGTTCTCTGACCATGCTGCCTGCTGGCCTGAAGCTCTAAACACTGCCTGGTCCTAGCAGCCTTGATCCTGGAATTTCTCACTGAAGCCTCTGCTGGGACGTGTTGTTGCCTGTTCCTCCTCTGACTCAAACTGTTTCTGCCCGCCCCAGTGCTGGCCTCTGACCAGCCTTAAGAACTGGCCTATCCCAGTCTGCCCCAGTTAATTAACCTTCTCTGTGTGACAGCTTTACAAGACTGGACAGAAGGCAGAACACCCATGATGCTCTGTGAATTAAAATCCCAGCCGGTGGAAGGGAAAGACTAAGGATGGGAGTGGTTACTCCACAGCATGCTGAATGCTTGAATCCCCCAAGAATTGTTTCAAAAGCAGCTGAATAAAAGAGTTGAAAAATTTTGGAACAATTACTGATCCCTCAAATTAGCTTCTGAAGAGTAGTCTTTAAAGTCATTCTTGTATAATCATAGCATTTCTAGGCTGAATTTTCCTAATAAAATCTTGGGATATTGTAATTCACCTTCCTTATTCCAACTCCTTGCCAACATCACAGTCTGTGTCTCTCTCTCTCTCTCTCTCTCTCTCTCTCTCTCTCTCTCTCTCTCGATGGAGTCTTACTGTTACCCAAGCTAGAGTGCAGTGGTGCGATCTCGGCTTACTGCAACCTCCACCTCCTGGATTCAAGCGATTCTCCTGCCTCAGCCTCCTGACTAGCTGAGATTACAGGTGCCTACCACCATGCCTGGCTAATTTTTGTATTTTTAGTAGAGACGGAGTTTCACCATCTTGGCCAGGCTGGTCTTGAACTCCTGACCTTGTGATCCACCTGCCTCAGCCTCCCAAAGTGCTGGAGCTGGGCATAGTGGCTCACTCCTGCAATTCCAGCACTTTGGGAGGCTGAGGCAGGAAGATGGCTTGAGGCTAGGATCAAGACCAAGCCTGAGCAACAAAGAGAGACCCCAATCTATAAATATTAAAAAGTACAAAACTTGGCTGGGCATGTTGGCACTCCTGTAGTCCCCCATCTACTTGGGAGGCTGAGGCAGGAGGATGCTTGAGTCTAGGAGATCACACCTGTAGTGAGCCAGGATTTCAGCCACCACATTCCAGGCTGGGCAGCACGGTAGGACCCTGTCTTAAACAAAACAAAACAAAGTCTCCTTCCTGCCCTAAAGTTGAGTCTTAACATAAAGACCCTTGAAGTCTTCTACTTCAAGATTAGGCTTCTAAAACATGCATACAACTTTCACTCCTTTCAGGTGTTCAATAGAGGTTTTAGCTTGGGGGAACAAAGGGATAAGGATCAGTCAGACGGCTCTAGGAGGCGCGTTTTAATTGGGATCCTAGAGACAACTGATACTCATAAGCTTTGTCTGTTTCTAGATGACCAATTTTCTGTACCTGCTTAAGGACAGTGCTTTTAGAAACCCATCAACAGGATGTACTTGTGGAACATGACAAGGTGCACTGAGTTACACTGTGATTTTTATAGTAGGTTACCTAGAGTCCCCATTGGTTCATACGGCTTCCTCTAAAAAAAAAAAAAAAAAAAAAAAAAAATTAGGCCGGGCGAGGTGGCTCACGACTGTAATCCCAGCACTTTGGGAGGCCGAAGCAGGCGGATCTCCTGAGGTCTGGAGTAGGACACCAGCCTAGCCAACATGGTGAAACCTCGTCTTTACCAAAAAATACGAATATTAGCCGGGGGTGTGGTGCAGGCTTGTAATCCCAGCTACTCGGGAGGCTGAGGCACGAGAATCACTTGAGCAGAGATCTCACCATTGCACTCCAGCCTGGGTGAGACTCCGTCCCCGACCCCCACCTGCCCCAAAATAGAAAGAAATCTTGGCAGAAGCATTTCAATAAGCCACTCGGGGGAGTGAAAATGGGGGTTCTTTCCAAGTGCCGCGGGAACCCGTGGGGATCACACTCAGCTGAGCCCTGCTGGGGGATACTCGGGAACGTCCGCAGGCTGACCGTCACCAGAGCTCTAGAAGAGAGTTTTAGGTTTTCATTCTGCAGGGAAATCCTTTCAAAAGGCGCAAAGGGCAGGGAACCATCTTCTACCAAGGGCCTTTCTCCTTCATTCTCCTATTTCGCAGTTAATTCATGGGGCGGGAGATTTTCTACGGGGAACAAGACATTCTAAGCACGTCCCTTTTAAGGTGTGGAATAGGGTGAGAGCCCCGAGGTTCCTGAGGGCTCGCGCTTCCATATAACCCCTAGGACTTGCATCTCCGTACTCCCCTGCTTCTTGTCCCCCATTCCAGGGACCCAGGTAGTGGAGTGTCTATTCGGGCCTGTTTGGAAAGCGGGACCCCACTCTGGCTGGGTTACGTTAACTTTTAGGGGCAGCCAAAAAGTACCTGCGGTGACGGGGATACAGGGCTGCTTCTGGAAACCTGAGAATTTCAGCTCCACGCTCTCGCTGTCCAGGTCCGAGGTGCAGACTGGGGACCCCCCCGACCCGCCCACCGCGGCCCGGGTCCCCACCTCGGCTTCGCGCCTCCTCCCGGCGGCCTCGACCTCCTTGCACACCTGCCGCCAGCTCAGGTGCCTCTTTCGACCGGTGGAGAGACGGCGTCGAGGTCCTGGTCGAGGGTGGGCCCTGGGGGCAAAGCCGAGGGAGCGCGCGAGGATGGTTGGGCAGCCCCTCACCCCGGGGAGGTGGGCGTTGCGGGACGGACCGGCAGCAGTCCCGGGCCAGTCGGGCTGGGGGCGGGGAGGAGGGTGGAGCCGCCGGGGAGGGCGGTGCTGCGGGGTGCGGAGCCCAGCCTCTCCCCCCACCCCCTTCGGTGCCGGAGTCTCAGAGACACAAAAAGCTCCCGCTCGGTGCCGAGCGCCTGGCGGCGGTGTCTGACCGCGAACGCGGAGGGCGGCTGTGCAGGTGGGGGCGCCGCACGAAGGGCCGGGCGGGGCCGGAGCTGGGGCAGCAGGCGTCGCCGCCGCGCTGTTCGCATCCGCCCGGTGGCTCGCGGCGGGACGAGCTGCTGCCGCCGGCCCGTGGCGCGCGTCTGGCTGAGCGGGGTGGGCGCGTCGGGACCACCCAGCGATGTTGTCGCCGCCGCCGCCTCTGTAGAGAAGCGCCCGAGCCCGCAGCGGAGAAAGGTCGGTGAGTTTCGGTTTGTTTCTTTTCTCTGCCGGCTTGGGGTCCGGGGCAGACAGAGGGGCGCGCGGGGATGTCTGCGCCCCCACGGCGGCCGCGCCGGAGCCGGGGAAGCGGGAAAGGGCAGCTGCCGCCTGCTGTAACTGGGGGGATCTTCTGGACGGCGGATGGGGTGGCGGGGCCGCAAGGGTCCCGGGGAGGGGAGCGCGGGGTCCAGCGGGGCGCGGGGGAGGTGGTCCCGAGAGTTGCGTGTCTCTCGAGCGCTGGTGGAGTTGGGCGGGCGGCCGTGGCGGGGCGCGGCGCTGCCGGCGGCTCGGCGGAGTCCTCGGATGCCCCCTGGAGCTCCGGTCCGAGGGAGCTCGCCTCGTGCCCGCGCCGCGCGCGCCCCTGGGGGTGCACGTGCGTGCGCGCTCTCCCCAGCTGCGCCCCTGCCCGCAGACACCCCGGCTCGTCCCCTCCCAGTCCCCTTGTCTCGCGCCTTCTCTACCCCTAGAAGTTGCCCCCGGGCCCTTCCCGGGTGGAGAGGTCACCGTGACGGGCCAGATATTGGGGGTCTTTTGTGTAGACTCACGCTCCTGGGGCGCTTGCTCCTGGAAGGACAGCGGCAGGACAAAGCCTGCTGGACTCGTGGGGCGCTGCTCGGGAAGCGGCGGTCCCGGATCCCGCCGGAGGTGGGGGCATGGCGTGGGGAGCGCTGCCTGCATCTGGAGAGAGTAGAGACATCGCCAAAACAGAGTGACGGTGACTTGATGAGGTGGCGGACAGGGGCAAACGAAAGAAAGCGCTGTGTGTCTGTCTGCGCGGGTGACTAGGCGCCCCGCATTCCCATATGACCGGGTTACCTAGTAGATTTTGCCAGTGTGTCTTTGCCCCAAGATGCTATTCTCCACCCGCTGGGGCTTACTGTTGCTGGTAGACGCTCTGCCACCAGAGGGGAACTCGTGGGCGGGGGAGACTGCGGAGGAGGCGGAGGTGGTTATTTATCCTATAGAGACAATTAGGAGCCGTGACGCCCCCTTTTCGGCCGCCAGTCCTCCACACCTCAGCCGCCTTGCTCCACCTCCCTAGAGCACCGGCTCCAGCCCCGCCAGCCCGAGAGGGCGCTTGGATTTCCTTTTCCTCGGCGCGTATCTAACCCTTCCTGCATGTATTTCACTGCAGGCTGAAGAAAGCTCAGTCTCAATTGTGTTTCCTGCCTGTCAGCCTCTTGCCTCCCAAACGCATACCATTTCCACTTGATGTCATCACGCAGAAGGGGGTGAAAGAGACTCGGTGACAGATTCAGGTAACCCCCCAGGATCTGGGTAGCCGCCTGGGTGTCTCTGGGTCTTTTGGGCCGACAGTGCTGGTACAGGGCTGTCTGGGTGGTTTCTTCATCAACATCGTTCCTATCTGTGAGAAGGTGTGGGGGCTGCTAAAACTCCTGGTTCCGAGAAAGAAATTGCAAATGACTTTATGCCTTCCCTTTGAAGAAGCCATTGGAGGCAGGGGCAGGGTGAATTTGGGATTGTAGAAATCCCACCTGGTTTCCTTTGATGGGAATAATTAATACACAGGCAGTTGTATCTGAATGTGGGGTTTCCATAGATGCCTTCTTTCTTATCTGTAGTAGCATATTTAGGCTTTGGTCTAGAGGTGGGGTATCCTTTGTTGAAAAGGTATCATTGTAAGACTGATTATACTTTTGCCTAGTGCTCTAATTGAGCATTGGTCAAATGCAGTGACCTTCTTATGAAATACTGTCTTTCTCCTGTCCCTCCGTTGTAATAGTGTTTGCGATATTAAGAAAGATGTGGTAGCAGGGAGTACCGGGAGGTGGAAGGGAGGGCCGTTGGCAGCAGCAGAAAGAGAACAGAGAAAACAGCTTGAGTGAAGTTTCCATTTAGATAGCCATGAACCAGTAGACTCATTCTGCATTTTATCTTTAGGTTATTGAGGCTTTTCCGAAAACCCTGACCTAGTCTTTTCTTTCCAAGGATAGTTCTGTGTTATTGTCAACCTAACCAGATCTGGGGTTATCTTGATAAGAATGCAATGAGAAAACGTAACCTTCAGACTTAGCAGGACACCCCGGCATTAGCATTTTCTCCTAGAGGGCAGAGTCCTGCGCATCCAACACTAGTAGCAGGGAGTAAGAATGGTTATGGAAATGGACTTTCGATTTTTCTTGTAGGAAGACAGGTTGCTGAGGGCCAAAGGCTCCTGGTATACTCTCTTTTACACTGCAGTAGCACCTTGGTATCTGTGACAGATTAGCTCTTCACCATTTTCCTCCAAATCCCTTGAAAAATGAAGTTAAAAACTTGATTTATTATTCACCTCTAAGGTAGTTTTGTTTTGGAAGGTGACTTTAAAAACACAGGTGACACTAGCCTTTATCCTACTACAAGCATTCGGGAATCACTAGGAAAAGTGGTTGAGTTATCTAGTCCCAGTTGAAACAAAGGCCAGTGCTTTGCAAAGAACAGATGAGTAATATGATGCTCAGATAGAGGTATTTTTGACAAGTAATTTTTATGTCAGCAATAATGCAGGGTGTGTACTCTTGCTGCAAGAAGAGAAACCATGTGATGAGAGAATAGGGAATATAATAATGAAATAGAAACAAGGGTGTGCGTGTGTGTGTTTAAATAGAAGAATAAACACTTCACACATCAAATTCCACATGGCAGAACAGCAGCCTGCACATGTAAATGCACGTCCAAGAACAAAGATAGCCACAATGCAGTGTTAGGTTTCATTGTGGTTTTAAATTGTGTACAGTAATAAATCATAATGAAGTGTTCATTGATGCTTAGTTTTTATTTTAAAAGGAGGCTTCCCACCCACAGATGTGTGTTGTAGTCTGGAGGCTCCCTAGAGGTTATTAGCCTGATCTTTGCCTCCAATGTCTGCTTCCTTTCTACAGTGCTCATTTATTCATTTAGCAGATATTTATTGGCACCTGATAGATAATGGACTCTGTGAGAGATAATGGACTCAAGGGGTTGGGGGTGGGTGTAGGGAGAGACTCAAAAGTGAACTCCCATAGGGGGCTGGAGAAATCAACACCTGATTCTAATTAAGTTCAGTGGAAGCTCAAGAGAGGTGGGATGGGACTTCTGAGGAGAGAAAATATGGTCATCCAGCCTCCACTTGAATGCCTTTTTCATTGAGGAGCTCACTGCTTCATAAATGGCTGTTCCTCTTGTCAGAAGGTGGCCCTCTCATTGTAGCCTTTTAAGCTGAATTCCATGCAGTTTGATTCTTTCGTTGCTGATGGTCATTCTGTTTTCATTTTGAATTCCTTCAGGTTGTTTGAACATGCCTATACTGTCCATGCCTTCTGCTTTTCAAGAGAGTGTTCAGTTCCTGATGAAGTTGAATTTTGAAACAAATGCTGCTTTTCCATATTATCTGATTTAGAAAACAAATTGATGGGATGCTTTTGCAGGTGTTTCTCTTTTTTAAACAGTGATGTACCAGCAAGATAGGTGAGGTTGTGCTGTGGTAACAAATCCCTCCGCGTCCCCATGGCTAAATACATTTTCTTTCCTTCCCGTGCTGTGTCCAGTGTGATTGGCAGTTGGACCCGGCTCATCATAGTCACTCAAGGACCTAAACTGATGGAGTCTTGGTCTTGATGTGAGCTTGCAAGATCACCGCAGCATTGGGAAGGAAATGCTGCAGGGTCTTGCTCTAGCAATTAAGTGATCCCACCCAGAGGTGAGTTCCATCACTTTGGCCAGGACTGGGCATATGACCCTATTTAATCACAGTTCAATATTTCTTGTGCTTAAAAGGGAGAAGTGGATATGAGTGAGCACCACTAGTGACTTCCGTAGTGATCTGGTCTAAGGTGAGGTTAGAAAATGTGTCCTGCGGGACCTAGCTCAGTGCTTGGTAGGTATTGGATGTTACATGAGTGTTGATTGAATCAACAACCTGTAATTTACAACCTGTAAATTTACTACCCCAACCTGTAATTTATTAATATATGGTCCTATCCTAACCTGTAATGTACTAATATGTTGGTATGTTATTTACTAACATGGTTGTACACTGGTCATCAAATGAAATAATTATAATCCTCTCTTTGCCTATTTCAATTTCATGTTTACTCTAAAGCACCAGGCCATTAGTTATTTTCAAGGCTGATTCTAGGAGGTTTCGAGCTTAGCATTATGTAATAGGGAGGTGTTACTTACAGACTTCCTTTTCCTCACCATCTGCCTCTTGTTGAAGGCGTCCTGAGTTTGTATGGAACAGCCCAGGGTAGAAAAAGAGTGGCAGTGGGCCTAGGGCCACCCAGGAGGTGGCCTCCTGCAGCAGAGACCACAGGGCAACAGATAAGATCTAAAGGGGGCAGGAATGTGTTTGGGGTAACCTTGGGTCACCCTTTTGTTACTTTGATGTTTAGAAAAATCAGTTTGGACAAGAGGCTTTTTCTGGTCACAGGACTGGTAGAACACCCAGAGAGTTTGGGGACATTTGTGCTTCCATCAGCAACTCTGTTGACTAGGAGGGTGGTGAGTTTTAAAACCTTCCTTGCCTCACTGTCCCTAAAAAGAGTTGGATGCCATGGAATAGGCATTGCAAGGTGCTGTGGATTCAGCAGTTGGTGGTTGGCAGAGATCTTGCTTTGGGAAGAGCCGTTCACTCATATCTTTGTTCACATTGTGATAACTGCCTGCACAGATTAGCATTTTAAAGATTTGATAAATACCTTAAGCATAAGCATAGACTTTAACAAAAATGATACTGCTTTTGATTCAATAATCACCTTGGCAAAGTCATTTTTTTAAAGATAGCTCTCCAACTGAGGAAGTGGTGTCGTAAACTGCCTATGGCAGTCTCCAAGTCACAGTGACTGAGGGGATATCAGTATCAACCTAGGGAGGTAGGTTCATTCACGTGATAAGATGTAGCACCCAAAGGGTTTCTGCATTGGGAGATGAGCAGCTGGGAAACCAGCAGGAAGAACCAGATATAGACCATCCAAGAACCCATTCAGGGTGCCTGGCGTTGGGCTGAGGGCCAGGCACAGACTGAGGGAGAAGGAAAATGAAGCCCTGACGGACTCATCTTGAACTATATTTGGGAAGACCCAAAATGCATTTCTATATTTTCTCTGGCCTCTGAGTCCCTATAACTTAATTCATATCCAAGTCGGCTGGTCAGGTAGAGGACACTTTTGGCGTGGAAGTGGTTTCTTGCACTGCCCATCGTGACGTCACAGAAACCCAAAAGGAAGAAGGCACTGATTTTCCTGCTCCTTTTCCTGTGGCTTCGGGAGTTACACTGTGCGATCCAACAGTCTGACTCCATGATTGAAATCATAATTGAGATAAAGTTGGTAGAGATGCTTCTTAATTTACAATGGGGTTACATCCTCATAAACCCCTCATAAGTTAAAAATACCGTAAGTGGAAAATGCATTTAATACATCTAACCTACTGTCATCATAGCTCAGCCTGACCTACCTTAAATGTGCCCAGAACATGCACATTAGCTTACAATGAGGGAAAAATCATATAACAAAAAGCCTGTTTTGTGTTAAAGCATCACATATCTCATGTAGCTTATTGAATAGTGTATGGAACGTGAAAAACAGATTGGTTGTATAGGCACTCAAAGTACGGTTTCTACTGAACATGTGTTGTTTTCACACCATTGTAAAGTCAGAAAATCATAGGTCATGGGTCAAACAGTCGTAAGTAAGGAACCATCTGTGCTTGTTCTATGCTTAAGGATTTTCTGTTTCTAGTTGACTCACTGTCAATTGTAGGATTTAAAGAGGGAGGCCTCAAACAGTGTATATGTGACCTGGATCTCCTTTGGGTGGTTCTCGATGTCCATGGTTTCTTGGTCTAGGTCATGTTTGGCTGCTGAGGCCTGGACTACGTTCTTTGTGTAGTTGTGATGGGGCTGCTTGTGATGTTCTGGGTGTGGAGAGGATGCCTTCTTTACCCCTTGATGTATTTACGCACGCATAAATAAAACTCATTTCAAATACCCTGCATGATGAAACTTACTCAGATGACACATAGACTTCCTGGGGTATCCACCTTTCATGCAAAGAAGGGGTTGAGCAAATGTAGATGTGCTGCTGGCAGGAGCAACGTTCTGAGGAAGTGGAATCTCCAAATGCTGTGTTCTGTGCTAGTATTTTCTCTTTCTACAACCTCCTCTTCCCCCGCCACTATTGCGTTCCCACCTACCAAGGAGGTGCAACTTTTCCTGCTCAGTTCTGATTTAAACATCCAGATAATCATACTTAGTGCACTCCTCACTGAGGTTTGACAA